CTCCCCAGACAAGGACCCAAAACTTAATCCTGCCTGATGAAGGGCTGCCCAGATTGGAAGGTCTTACAGTGGTCCTGGAAAATGTCCAAGCTCAGGCTCTGACAAACCACATGTGGGAGAGAGTTCCAGAGCCAGGCAGTGAGTACCAAGAACAGCCTTCCATGTGTTTTCACCAAATGAACTGGGAATACAGATGGTATCTGAGGAAGGTTGCTCTCAGCTGACATTAGGGGATTGCAATGAAACATCAAAGAGAAGGTGGTCACTTATGTATGTAGGGCCCACACCAGTTAGTTATGGCCTTAATCACTGTTCCTGGAAAGCTATTGGAAGCCAGTGAAGACTCTGGAGTACCAAAGTAATATGCACTTGGCGTTTCACCCTGATTGAAAGGCAGGCTGCATAAATGACGTGTCTAAAATGAGACCTTGATCATGGGGTCCCTAAATGTTACTGAAATAAAACCACTGTTCCCCAGCATGTCCCCAAGGTTTCCTGGCTCATTATTCCACATACAGTCTTGCTAATCACCAATGATGATATAATCATGACTTTTTCCTTAAGCAAGGAGCAAGCGTAATGAGAGCCAGATTTCTGAAAAGTAACTTTCTACTTTAACAAAGCTACTCAAAATGATGCCAAGCTGAAAGATCTGAGTCTATAGACCAGCTCGGTGCTGTAGTTTAGGAGGAAGAACTTTTCTACATCTGTAGCATGTACATAACGATGATAAAACGGACCTGACAGCAACGTTCTGGGGTAATACAGCAGAGTAAGACCCAGTTAAACTGCTGTAAAGGGCACTGAGATCTAAAATGAAAAATTTTATTCTGAATCTTCTCTTTTTCCTGGTGGATGAATGGGGGCCTGCCTTAATTTGATTAAGACAGTAAAAGCTGAATGCCTCTAAGCCTGGATAAGGGAGAAGTTCTAATTATATTTGCAACTCGCCTTTTAAAAACCTGTCCTGGTTTTAATTGTTATCTGAGACAACCTTGAGAGACAGGGGAATCTTTGTATATGCGACCAAGATTTAGACTGTGTCTGGAGCAGGTGATGAATTTCCCATTAGTGTTTTTCCAACAGAATCTATAATTTCTTCATATTTAAAGTTTTCCACAACAAGATTTTGATTTTTTATCTGGAAGATGTAAAAATATTTCATTTCAGTTTTGGTCAGTTGAAGACATTTTATGTTGTTGAACTGTATCTTAAAGGTTTGCTTAGGTCAGTCTGATACTAATCTGGGTCTGTTGAATCTGATGTCGTGCTGTATGCCTCTATTTTTTCTTTATAAGCTGGACTCCCTGGTAGAGTGGCCACTGACCCATCCCCAAAATACAGGGCAACCCCTTGGTGGTGGGGAGAAACCACTGGTCCCCTCAACCAATCAGCAGTAAGGGGTGGGGCCATTGGGCCCCTTGGCCAGTGAGCAGCAAAGTATGGCAATACCACGAAAAGACCACCTTCCTCTCTGGCTGGCTGGCTGGCTGGGAACCCTGCTCCTCCTGGCTGTTCACTGCCCTACATCTAGGCACAGCCAATAGAGTCACAAGGACAAATGATTGACATGTATTTTCACCACTGAACTGAAACACAGGACTTTCTGCAATCCATTCCTCATTTAGAAATGGAAAAGGGACAAAGGGCTTAAAAACAGGACAGTCTGGTATAAATAAAACAGGACCAATGGACATCCTACTCCCAGGTCAGACTACATTGCCATAATGCAGTGATGCACACCCTTTTCATCCAGTAGGTCAGATGGACAGTGCCTGCTCCCTCCACGGGCCAGATCTGGCTGGTGGATCCAATCCGGCACTGGGGTAAGCACAGCAGGGACCCACCCAGCCATGCAGAGGGAAGCAGGGGGCAGCCCAGCCCCGATTCAGCTGTGCAGTAGAAGGGAGCTTTGTTTTGTTTCAACCCAGCTCTGCGGGGAGGGGGTACAACCCAGCCTTGATCCAGCTCTGTGGGTCAAGCAGGCATGGCTCAGACCTATGCGGGGAGGGGAACATGGCCTGGCCTCAACTTGGCCAGGCAGAGCAGGGGGGGGGGGGGGAGGGGGGGGGCGGTCCGGGGGCGGGGAGA